CTGGTCGTCTACTGCCGTCTGGCAGGTGAACCGGCACGGGCCGTCGCGACTGCGCTCACTCATTTAACAAACAAAAGTCACCAATTGAAGGCGCCGTTTTATCGAGGGCTCGACTGAACTACGGCATTCGCGTCTCGCTGGTTGTGAAGCTAGCGTTAGCTTGTTGTCCGGGCCGACGTCAAGGCGCGGGTCGCGTGAAAGCCGCGGCCGTCCGCAGCGCCTCATTCTCGGGTTTCGGGTAAGCTGAGAAGGCGGCGCACCTGTCGAAGGTTACGAAAAACGTGCCGCGCATTAGAAATGGGAACGTGCTGTGTGTGGATAAAGCGTGAAGCCGCCGCACTAAAGGTGCTTCGTGAACGAGGAGAAGACAGCCGGTGTCTCCACCGCTGGGGCGATTTCACACGAAAGGTTCAAGGTGCATCGACGCTAGCCGGCAAGCAGCCATCCAAGCCGAAGTCCACCCCGGACCACACATCAAAAACAACAACAAGGCGTGTGGCAGAAAGACACGCGCCCGGCAGTCACGCTCCGCGCCGCCGTACCAGCGCGCGCACACACACACAAAACAAAAGCCTCATCAACAACAACAGCCGGCGAGCGAAAGAGCGTGTTGTTTTGTGGCTGAGCTCTCGGGGCATTCTCGGACATGCACTTCCGCCTCCCGCTTGACCGCAGCTCGGCTGCGCGAGCGCCCCCTGCGGGAACGGCGGCTCGTTTCCGCGCGCGGTGTAACGCGCAAAACGCAAAAAGATGCCGAACCAGAAGTTTCCAAACAAAGACAAAAGGGTTTTCGCCGCGTGCCAAGTCTAACTTCTTCCACGAGTGTTCAAGAACCGACTGCGCTCGTTTTGACCAAACATGGTCTGGCGGGGCGTCGGGGCAGGATGGGGGCGGGGGTGTGCAGGGGCGTGCGTGCCAGAAGCAAACTTTGAGGAACTTCAAACCGTCGACATCAGCAGAGAATCGAGGTAAGCTGCATCTCGGGCTTCTTTTCGCCTATCTGCTGCTTCGTTGTTTCTCTGTCACGCACACGTGCTCGTTTTTGCGTAGTCTCGACACCTCCCGTCATCCATCAGCTGATCGCATCGACTTCCCCCCTACGTGCTCAGGAAGGGCGTGGGGGGTCGGGGGGCAGTAAAATGAGGTGGATTCTCAAGACGATCTTGCTTTCAAGCGGCAGAGTACAAAAGGAAAAAAAAAACTATCGAGCAGTATGAAACAAAATAAACCGTTGAAAGCATTTTATGTGGTCTATGGAAAAAGTGAAAAACTATGCAGTGGAAATGATGTCATAAAATGTTGGTGATTATTAGAGTTCCCCCGCAGAACATAATGGGAAGCACGCAAGACAAGAACCGTTTCAGTTCGCACTTTATGTTGAAACGCAGTGCAGCTCACTTTCTGATTGTCAGACTCTCCATATGAAACATAATCCAATTTCCAGCGTGTTTCTACACGAATTTATGACGCTGAACTAAAAACTCGATCTTTCCTTTTTCCCCCGAGCACATCCGTTTTTATCGCTCTTTTCATTTTGAAGTTTGACCTCTAAAAGCCTGCTCAACACGTATTTGACCATGCGTCGTCATTTGTAGTAAAGACGCTTCACGAAGAACATCCAGTGGTGCTGAACCTAACTAACCATTCCAAAATAATACAAAATCTATGACGAGGGAGGGCGAGTACGGAAACCGAGTATTGGCATCGGGCCGACGCCAGTCTGAGTTCAACGCTTCGAGTCTCTCGCGAAGGCTGATGAGAGCAGTTACTGGCGCCCTCTGGTGGCCGTTCAACTCTCAGGAAGGAAGTGGCAATGGGGCGTTACCAACCGAGCGACTTTCTCGCTCGATTTCGCATTGACCTGCTTTCATAGAATGTTGTGATTCGGTCCAATCGTGAGGTCTACGTTTCCCGTTGAATGCAGTTCAGGCAACATTTTTTTTCCTTGGATTCCACAGAGTTCAACGAGCGCGGCGAGCCACAGCCAAGAAGAAATTAGCGGGTCTGCAAACTTTGCCCTCCACCGCGGCTGAGCCCCGGTTCAAAACAAGGCGTCCAATCTAGTTCGTTGATTCGCTGTCACGTCTTCTTTGCGCTCGACGTCACCTTTTGGCGGCGCGAGTTCGTCTTCGTTCAACCTGGCCCACCGGGGAGACCGTCGTTTGTTCCCATCATTTTAAAACAGCCAGAAACACGAGTCAATCAATCCCCGGCGGCACCGGACGGTTTTCTTTCAAAAGAAGCGCACGTGTTCATTCGGCCGTCTCGTCTGCTCAGGTCCGCCCCGCCTCGGGAATGCGCTTGACCAGAACGTGACCAGACCG